CAACATCAGGAAATGACTTTTGCTAAAACTGATCTCGGCATATGAAAGCAGCTAAAACCACGTACAAAACAAGGATTCCCTTATGTAACTTGAGTTTCATTTCTGTCACTGACCCTGTAATGGAAACTTTTGTCACACTTTCTTTCAACTTTAAATTTGTAGAATCAATAAACCTCAAGAAGATCAGAAGGATGAGTGCAATAATCTTTATCTTCATTGTGACGAGTAAGCTTAGCAGTAACACTAAAAACCATCTGCTCTCATGCATTACTTAAAACAGCCTCTAAAACACCCAGAGGGTGAATAATGTTTCCATAATGACAGACATTCATTGCACAACACACTGCTCAGTATGAAGACTTAAATCATAGTGATGTTATTTCTGGTGCACAATCCAACTCAGGATGCTTTAGAGAAAGAAACAGATCAGTGACAGAATGCTGACTTGCGATGCTTCTGTAAAACTACTTTTGACAGAGGTATTGAGCATTTGCACACATCACATAGGAAGTATGTAAAGATGGCTGGTAGGAGTGAAAACTAAAGTGAGTTTCAAAAAGCCCCCGGAATGGTGAGAAATGATTTGTTTATTATCACGTGGGTATGTGTAATCTCAGAGCCATTCCTCCCACATGCTGCCCAGCAGCCACACAGATCTCTGTGTAACTGGTTAAGGGAGCATGCACCATTTACATTTCAAAAGATAACCTATAATGCCTTGTCTTCTCCTCTGTATATATATATATATATATATAAATATATATATATAAATGAGTTGTGCTAATGTGCAAAATATTTTTTTTTATATATCGTCTTTTCTAGTATGTGAAGGTTTGAACAGCTAGGCTTCCAGTTCTTACCAATAACAATCTTTCACAGTCATTACAGTCATCCCTTTACCATATTAGGTTCACATAAGTATCTTTTTAATAAAGCACACAGGCCTTCAGGTCACGAATGATACAGGTCCCAGCACTTTATATCTTAAAAAGCATACTTTGCATAAAAGTATTGTTTAACTTTTTTAAAAAAAGTTTTGTATATGTACTTTTGTGGCTAAATTTTTTAAAAAAAATGTTCAAAAACCAAAAACCAAAACCAAAAAAAAACATATACAGTTGAAACCAGAAGTTTACATACATTGTATAAAAAGACAAAAAAAACTTTTTTATTCTCACTTTCTGACACTAAATCAGACTAAACTTTTCCTGTTTTAGGTCAGATAGGATTACCAAAATTATTTCTATTTGCTAAATGCCAGAATAATGAGAGAGAGGAATTTTTAGACAATTTTTTATAACTTTCTTCAAAGTCAGAATTTTACATGCACTAAGATTACCATGCCTTCAAACTATGTGGGAAAGCCCAGGTGATGATGTCATGGCTTTGGAAGCTTTTGATAGGTTAACTAACAACATTTGAGTTAACAACGTGGGAAAATCTAAAGAAATCAGCCAAGATATCAGGAAGAGAATTGTGGACCTCCACATGTCTGGTTCATCCTTGGGTACAATTTCCAGATGCCTGAAGGTCTTACATTCATCTATTCAAACAATTAAACAGTATATATTACATAAAAAATATATTATATATAAAGTATAAACACCATGGGAATGTCCAGCCAACATACTGCTCATGAAGGTGATGGGTTCTGTGTCCCAGAGGTGAACGTATTTTGGTGTGAAATGCATATTGTTGAGGAAATTTTCTATGATCTACATAAAGTCCAGTAGTCCGAGTTGTCTTTGTTTATTCAAAGCTTTGAAGGTACAGGTCATACAGAATGCAAGCAGTCTGCAGGAGAGTACACATGAGTGCAGGCAGCATGGTATTCTTATACATGTACAGGCGTGGTCTTTACTCCAACGGTAGTATAACAATCCCATGCTGGAAAAACAACAGCTGGGTGCACAGGGTGTACTCATTCACAGACATTAGAAGACTAAACACGCTGGATCAGGCATCAAAAGTCTAAACACATGGGATGCACAACTTCTTCCCATGTACAGCCAGTAGTGTTTACCTAGATGTTATGGGAACACATTTTGGGCCTGTAACCTTTCCACTCAGCTTTAATGAAACTTAGAGAAACTTGCTTTGACATTCTTCATGCAGATGCAGTATTTTTCCATTACACATATCAACCCCAGAACAAAAGCAAAAGACTTTGTGAAGATGCTACTGAAGCTGGTAAGAGAATGTTATTATCCACAGTGAAACGAGTCCTGTACCAACATGGGCTGAAAGGCTACTCAGACAGGAAGAAGCCATTACTTCAAAAGAAACATAAAAAAAAAAAGCCAGATTACAGTTTTGAAATGCACACAAGGACAAAGACCTTAATTTTTAGAGACTTGTCCTGTGGTCTGATGGAACTAAATTTAAACTGTTTGGCCATAATGACCATCATTACATTTGGAGAAAAAAACAAGAAGCTTGTAAGCCTGAGAACACCATCCCAACTGTGAAGTACGGGGGTGGCAGCATCATGGTGTGGGGGTGTTTTGCGACTGGTGCACTTCACATAATAGATGACATCATGAGGAAAGAAGATTAAGCGGAAATATTAAAGCAACATCTCAAGACATCAGCCAGGAAGTTAAAGCTTGGATGCAAATGGGGCTTCCAAATGGACAGTGACCCCAACCATACCGCCAAATTAGTTACGAAGTGGCTTCCAGGACAGAAAAGTCAATGTTTTGGAGTGGCCATCACAAAGCCCTGATCCCAGTCCTGTACAGTATTTTTGGGCAGAACTAAAAAAAAGCCGTGTGCAAGCAAGGCCGCTTACAAACCCGACTCAGTTACACCAGTTCTGTCACAAGCTGTTGTGAGAAGCTCATGGAACGATTCCCAAAACGTTTGACCCAAGTCATACAGCTTAAAGAAAAGGCTACCAAACACGAAGGAAACGTATGTAAACTTCTGACTTTAAAGAAAATCATAAGAAACGATTTTTTTTTTTTTAAATCGCTGTCTCATTATTTTAGCATTTATCAAATAGAAATAATTTTGGTAATCCTAACTGACCTTAAAAAGGAAAAGTTTACATTTAATCACATTAAATGTCAGATAGTGAGAAAAAAAAAAGGTGTATGTAAACTTCTGGTTTCAACTGTGTATATGGAGGAGTCTATGTAGGAGGAAGTTTTATTCTCCAGTTGTAATTTCCTCAAGTTTGTCAGGAACACATATGGAAGATCCCCTAAAAATCCTGAAATCACCCCCACCCGTCCTATCATCCACACAGATAGATAGATCGCTTCCCATCTGGGAATCACTAAATATGTAGTTTTGTTCTCTAGCCACTCCAGCAGTATGTGTCATGATGTCAATGAAAGGAAAATTTACAAGGCGCAATGAAAGTACTACGAGTACAAAGTGCAAAGAGAATCATTCTGTGCCGAAACCAGGTGATACAAACATACTTACATCTTTCTTTCTTCAAATGTCATATTAAGTATTTATTTAAATATTTAAATCAAGTTAGTAAATTCGAAATTCTGTCCATTTGGGAACTTTACAAATTGCTGCTTAATGGGAAAGAAGAGAGTAATGAAAAGAGTTCATTACAGTAGCTATTGTGTGTCTTTAGATACAGTGCACTAAAAAGAAAAAGAGACTGAAAAACAGAAGTGAAAAGAAGTTCTGCCAAAGGTGACAAAAAGACCAAAGAACAAGACGTGAATGTGAAACGCTCTGTGGTTTGTGACAGATATGTTATGAAAAACCAGCTGTGGAAGTATTTAGTACATGTTCAAGATAATAGCACACTACCTGTAATAAAATGCCAAACAGACTACTTTGGTAAAGAAGTAGACTTCCCAGTAATACATATAGACACATACACATAATACATACAAAGTCACACAACAGTGACCTTTATGCATAAACCCTAATTTGTAAGACTATCCCTCTAGTTTGTATAAAATATATCAGTTAAATGTCAGTAGCACCATCTTTGATGTCACAATGAAGCAATCACTACAACTTGGAAAATGTCAGATTACAAATATCAGCAAAGATTGATGAACAAAATGTAAATTGTGCAATCTAACATTTCATTACAGTTTAAAATGACACGTCTTACTTCTGTGTTCAACCGAGCTCTGTTAGTGGCTTAAGATATTACACTAACAGGTCAAAACAGGTCACATAAAGATGAATTGTTTGTCGATTTATGACAATTCTTTTTAAAAATTAGATGACACGTTTGCTATCTCCTGTACAAATCTGCTAATGCATGAGAACTCTTTCCATTCACATGCAGGTCTGACAGGTTCTATGTGCTGTAATTAATCATTTGCCTTCTGCAAACTGCCTGATAAGTCAAATTTTAACCAGTTTATGTAGTATGTTAGTGTGTGAGGAGGGAATCATTTCTCGCCTCTAGCTTGTTTAACAGCAAATTAAGTCATGCCCAGAGGAGGATTGTGTCGTGGTTCAGGTTGAACGGGTCACTGACTGTAGGGTAACCCTGGTATTTCGTTTCCCGTTCTTCCACACTGAGCATTCTTTGTGAGCACTTGTGACATCTTTCAAAGCATGCACATTAAAAAACAAATAAGTCAGTTGAATACTATGCATTTGCATTTGGCACAGTAAATAGTTATAATCGCTTCTAAAGAACTCATGTCACATGGACAGATGAAGTTGATAAGAAAACAGGGAAGTTTGTTTGTCTGCCGTGTAACGTCACAATCCGAAAACGCAGGCACGCACACACAAATGCACGCACACGAAACCTTCACACCCACACAATTCTATGGAAGTGTTGCTCAAGATACAATTTCTGCAAAATAACCAATTATCTACAGTTTTTATTTGCAATCAATGTGTAAATATCTCGCGTACCTAAAAAAAAAAAAAAAAGAAAAAAAAAGAACTTAGTTTTGTCACTCCATTCTCATTCCAGTCTCTGATGCATGAGCTGACATCACATTATTTTAGCTTCCCAACTGTATGGCTAAATAGAAAGGAAACCAAACTCAGATGACTCCACCCACAGAATGAAGCTACTTGGCTGATGAGGAAGTTTCACATTCTCACATTGTCACACACACTCTCACAGAGGATAGGACAGCAAAATGGTAAGAGCTTCTTTAATTCTTCATGCTCACTTGTCTTACTGTAAAGAAACGTTTAAGAATACAATGTTACACAGTGTAAGAATATTTTTCTGATTAAGGCTTCAAGTTTCTGTCTTGTGAGTGTTTGTCAGTCATTAAAACATTTTACTGTATAAACAAACACTTGAAATTCCATTGAGTAACAGCCTGTGCATGTGATGTGTCTATTTCATATGTAAGAACGTTAACAACGATATAATAAGTAAGTAGGCTTCAGCTGCAGATGACTACACATCAAAAAAATCTATTTAGCAAGACTTGCTATTTTATTGTAGGAATGATATGTGCAGATATGTGCTCCTCGATAAAAAGCAGTTAAACACCTTGTCTTTGCAAAAGGCAGGCAGGAGAAGAGATCTAAAATCACGTAAATCACTGCAATGTGGATAAACACTGATAATTACCCACATGACTGATTTATTTTGAGGATATTGTGCCGAGATGAGGTTGCTTGTTTTCTTCTTCTTTTTTTTTTTTTTTTTCCTGGAATGAGATGTGATTACGAGTCCATAAAACCCCACGTGTGACTCAGTAGTGATCTAATCATGCATTCATTCATTTCTAGACCTCTAAATGACTAAACTAGAAAAAAGCAAACAGAAAGCACGCTTGCTTTTTATTTTTCTTGGGGGGAGAAAAAGCACAGTAGCAAATAAACTTCTGTTGCCAAGTCTGTTGCTTCAGCTTGATCAGTGTCATGCTACAAAATTCTGTTCAGTCCTTCCTTTTGTTGTGTCTTTTTGCCTCCACATGAAAAACAATGTGAAACTCATGTGGGCTGTGTCACTGGTGTGACTTCAGGCATGTGGCTCCTTAGATTATCTGGCAGGTTCGAATAAAAAAAAAAAAAAGTGTTACCGTAAAACAGTACAGTAAGGCTGGGTAAGCTACGTCATGTGGGAATTCCCTCTCTAGTAAAGCCTCATTGTTTTATAGGTGTAACCACTACTAGGGTTGTTGCTATGGTGATAAGAGAGTTAAAAATAGTAAACACAAATTTGATTTACATATAGTCATAAACTGACACAATGCTCTCTGTTTTTCTATTTCTGCTGCCCAGTTCTCTGTTTGTGTCCAATGTATTTTGAAGTTATTAAGGGACAGCAGGTGTAGCATTACTATGAAAAAAAGTGTCATATAAAAATATAATAGAGTCTAACACAGAAAAAACACAAACTGTGACCTCAGAAACTCTGAAATAGTCTCAACACAGGAAATCAACCCAAGCTCTCATAAAGGAGGTCTTAGATACAAGAATTATGTTATTTAACATGCTGGTTTAACAGACACAATGTCACAGACATGAAGGAAAACCAAAGCTCTATCAAAAAGACACAAGAGAGAACATGAGCATGTTGTTAATCGTTTCATAGTTGTTATGATCACTGCAACATCTTATCTGGTATCACCTTTCATGAAACTTTTAACACATTGCAAAGTGATTCAGGAATTATATTGCCCTCGGGAATTCCCTCTGATGTTGTTCCTGTTTACGGGTGAAACTCTAATGCTGGTCATTATGAAGCTGGGTCTATGTAGGGGTGTTTCCACTGGACATCTTCTTTTATTTTTATCATATCGCTGTTATTTTTCTGCACTACAGATATTTTGCGTATTTTACATGCAAAGTTTCAACACAAAGAACATAATTTCAGGCTGTGTGACAAAGTTTGACTTGCATACAGCCTCCAACTTTACTTTGCTAAACCATGTGGCACTGTGACCTTTAAGTTTGCCCCTGGGACTTTCCTCAGACATTAGGTCAGTATCAACAAAAGTCAAAAAAAGAATTATTTCCTCATGTACAGTTCTAGGTACTAGTCTGTTTGAACCTAGCTTATAAAAACTTAAATCAGTGTTTCCACAGTTTTGACACAGTAATACACAGAAATATATAATTGAGCTACTGGAAGTATTTATACTTTTAGTATTTGGTTTCTATAATATTACATTAAAAGTTATATGGCAGATAAAACACTAAAGAAAACTACAAGGCAGCAGTGTCACCCAAGAAGACACCCTCTTTCTCATCATCAACAGAAACAGGCTCTCTCTCCCTGGGACTTTCCTTTGTCGTTTGCTGAATTCTTTTTGGGCGTGTTGTTTCAGATAAGAAAAGCAAATTTCCCACACAAGAGTGACTGTGAAGAGTCTGTTAAGATTGTTTTTTTTGTTGTTGTTGTTTTGTTTTTTTTTTTTTATAAAAAAGACATTGTTTATTGTATACCATACAGATTCTATAAAAGTGTCTTTCCCTATAATAATTTTCTTTATATGAACATGTAAAAGACCAGGTGGTGGTTTTAGAGGAGCAGATGGAGGTCTTTTTTTAGGCTGGCTGGTTGTGTTTCCTACTGCAACTACACAAAAATTGCTCCACCTTTCTGACTAGATTTAGATTTACTGACCCACTGACCTAATCTGAAAGACAAATGGTGAAATATCTGCTTGACGATAAATTTGGCACTTTAATGCGTCCTCATCTGATGAATGTTGTTGTTCTATGATAGCAAATTCAATCAAAACTGAATCCATCCTATCACTGTGATTAATTTGTGTATCTTTTTCATAATAGGCACTGAAAGGCAACCGACAGTGTTTCCTGTAAGTAACCACACATTTTCTATGATGTCATTGTTATTGTGAACTCGCAGCAAAACATGACTCAGAAGTCAGTGCCATGAACAACATGACCTCTGGTTTAAGTTTTATCGGTACTTTCAATGGATACCTTTATCTTGGTGCGGCGTTTCAGATGTGATTATGTCGCCACAGAAATAAAGATTACGATGGGTTATGCAGGTGTCACTTTCAAGGCTGTAACATCTACTCAGAGCAAAATACTGACTTACTGTGATTTAACCACCACTAAAGATAAGGAAGGAGGAAACAAATACAGATATACTTTTATTTATTGGTATGAGCAGAGGTCCAAATAAAACATGCGGGTTTCGCAGCAGCACAAATATTCGAAAACTCAGAGTCGCTATTATGAGAAATTGTTCAGTTGTATTACTATTGAAGTAATCCAGTAGCTGACTTAAACCCAATAAAAATCTGCACACATAACATTCATACAATAAGCTTGTGGCCCTGCATTACACAGTGGAAGGCAAGCACTGAAATTATCAAAATGTTCAGTGAATTCAAAACTTTCCACCCAAAATCCCCCAGATTGTTCAATTTCAGTATGTCGAGTCAATTCTAGATTGAACTATGCATACACAATCGGAGGGATCCTACTTACTCACAGATGTGTGGAGGCTTCAGGCTTATCACATCCTCGAGTGTGCCCTTGTGTTGGTACTGTAAAGGGGAAGGGAGACAATCATATTAGCTTTAAAACAGTTATTGTTATAGAATGGGTTGGGTGTAGTTAGATTTGATGATCATGTGAGCACAGTGCCAAAAAGGAATGTTTTTTAATGCCTGCCTGACATATTGTGTGTGAATCTGTACTGCTACAGGATTAATACCTGATTAATGTGTCATTTTTGTGTCTTGTCTTCCGAGAAGTCCAAGGATTTTCATCCAGCTGCTGGCTCTGGTTTTCACAGTCGCAGCTAAAGGTGAGCAGTTCTGTCAGTCGTGCATCTCCATTGTGGTTTTACAGTGAAACCAGTTTGTCAAAGTAATTTTAAAGAACAAGTGATTTCACAGCACTATGGTTGGTCGCACATGGATGGAGCAATACCACATATTATATAATACAGACAGAAAGCGCAAGAAGAACATAACATCCAACTCTGTAGCACAGCAGAACCTGTTATTCTCTTTTAGGTGTCTGTTTTGGTTTTAAAGGGCAGCATTTACCGTGTAAGGACATGCTTATTTGCTTTCTTGTTACGAGTTTATTGAGAGGATTCATTCCAGCCACATGTGCTTAAGATAAATATGAGCAAGCATAAGGACTGTAAACCAAACTAGCGGCTCCACCCTGTTTGAGGTCTCTAGTCTGAGGTGAACTGAGCTGAAGTGCCTGCTGGTTGTAGCTCAGACACATATGAGATCGGTATGACTAATCTCAACTAACTCATGTCAAGAGAGCAATTATGCATGTTCTCCAAATTTTTCTCTATTTTAAAGAGTATTTTTTTAGAGTCCATATACTTAGTGTTTCTGTTTTCAGCAGAATAGCTGCAATACAGTAAACTATCAAACTTTAGTCAGACAAAGGTAGTGATAAGCATGTGAAGAATGCTGAATTTCCAATAAGGTACAGACAGACATTTTCATGAAAGAGACAAAACAACACATGTATTTTACACAAAAGGAAAGGCCAAATACAGAAAAAGAAGAACTGAAAGTAGTCTACTACGTCATGCAGTGGACATTTACACCCACTCGAAGCCAAAAATATGAACTGTTTACTCATATGATATAGCTTTGCAATGTTTTTAGTAATGCAGACATTCTGTTTCACGAAAGGTTTCCCAGTATGCTCAAAAACTTTACTCCCACTTTTCTTTTCCAGAAAGTGCTGCTCCGATTCTGGTCAGAGGGGAAGTTGGAGGAAAGGTGACCTTTCGATGCTGTGTTGGGCAGCAGAGAAAGCCAGAGTTTATGTACCTACAAAAGGGCAAGATATTCGTCAACGGGTGCCACTCATCAAAGAACATAGAAAAGACATGGCCAAACACAAGAGTGGATTGCAATACAAGTGAAGTTCATATGTCGGACTTGACTATATCACATAGTGGGGACTATAACTTCATTATCCAATACAACAAAATATTCACTGATCCTGTGGTTGAAGAGGTTATACGACTAAACGTCACAGGTATGCATATGCAAAATTCAACATTTTAACTTTTATTTAATTTTTCCTGGTTTTGCTATGAGTTCTTCCACACAAAATTTGTTTTTGTGTAATTCTTACAAAATATAACACACTGCTTGTTGTGATACCATTTCACAATCCTATTGCATTTTCATGAAACGCTTAAATTCATCACCCATGTTTACGAGAATCATAGATTAGATATAAAACGATGTCAGTTTATTCATTCACAAAAATCTCTTACTGATCTGGACCCTTTAAAAATGAAAATTCACAATTTCCAAAAAATTAAAAAAATTAAATATATATATAAAAGACAGATGTTAGAAAAAGTTTGCACATTATTTGTTTTACCGCTCTTTGCTGTTTCAGCAAAATTGTGTTTAGTACGCTGTAAGGTGCAATATTGGACAGGGGATAAGAGGTTTTTCCCACTTTTATTTGAGTGGCTGTTACCAAATATATATATATATATATGTATGTATTTATGTGTCTTGGTTCCAACTTGAAGTAACCGAAAGGCCTCAATAAAGAGGAGCCTCTGTGAGTACCAGTAAGACTCAGACATAAAACACACAGGAAAACACCTTTATTTTCGTGTTTTTTTCAAATTTTCACCCTTCCCCTTCCATCCCTCTCAACACTGGTGATAAACAGTTTTTCTTAATTGAAGCATAAATGTTGAAAAGAGAGGGCTGACTGTAATCACTTCCTGTCTGTCTTCTAGGTAACTTCACTCGACCGTCAGTCAAAGTGGTTTGTAGTAATGGAAGCCGTTTTAAGAGTTGTACAGCGACCTGCACCTCACATGGTGGGTTCCCATTCTCCAACATGACGTGGAACGTCAATGGTACCGAGAATACCACCAGTAATATGTGGAAAGTTGTGAACAGGACGAAAGTTCAGAGTTCAGATACCATGTTGTTCACAAGCACTAGTAGCGCCAACTTCAACTGCTCCAGCAGAGAGGTTCTGGCGTTCAGCTGTTCTGTGCGGGATGTCACCTCGGATGAACACTTAGTCTGTGAGTACTTAACGCAGATTTTTTCTTTTTTTTTCTTCTTTAACAGATTCTGTTGTATGCTGTCAGCCACTGGCAGGTTTTGGGAAGTGTGCAAGCTGATGGAAATTCCTCAGCATATATCCCCTTGCTTTTCAGGGAATATATGAGTGGTACTTTTGCATGTTTTTACGTCCTGTCAGTGTTTGATTGTTTGGCTTTCACAGAGGAGTTTAGTATGATTAGATTTTTAAGTTCATACAAGACTAAGAGTCTGCAGCCAAACCAACAACTCTGCAGGGCTGGAGTGTAATTATCTACAGGGGTGCTCTTTTAGAGACAAATGAGAGGAATTTAGAAGTTGTTTTCCAAAGTAAAGGAAGGATGCTTAGCAGCTGCATTTCTAGGATGCCATGTCACTGAATCCCACTCAAGGCCGGGTCCAATGTCTGGATCTTTTAAATTCTGCCAAATATCCATTGCTTTGAGAATTTTATCCACGACTAATGTGTATCCTCTGCATTCTTAAAGCACCCACAATTCTGTGTGTGGAACTTATAGTGGAACAGCAGCATACTGAACATTGACTTTGAAAAAATACCTTTGGTTTAGTCTGTTGCACAATTGCCTAACAGCACTAATTTCAAAGTATAGCTAAGGCTAATGGGAATGTCAAAGGCTTCACAGGTATTTGCTTGTAAACTAAAAAAAAGTATTGAGCAAATACTTTTAATTTGATGATAGCACAAGAGGAACAGTTAGAAGATCCCCAAAGTTATGAGGAGTTTATCCACTGGGGACCACGGATGTCTATATAAAGTTCCATGTCATTTTGTCCAGTTGATGTTGCAACTTTTCAGTTGATGCTACACAGGGGCTTGATCAGGGCTTGTACAAGATAAAAAGAAAATCTAGATAGGATGATCACTGATACATACACTTGTTCTCGTCTGTAGGTACACACCAGGATCCAGAAGACCACTCCAATCTTTATGTGATAATAGCAGCCTGTATAGTGGTTGTCATGGTGGTCTTTGTTGTACTGTGGTGCTGGAAATGCAAGCAAAGACAGATGGGTAAGGATATAGATTAGGTGTGCCAGAACAAATTGTTATACACACATTTGCATATCATAAGGAATGTAAAGATGTCAGCAGGAACTCTACAGTAATGTGCAAAAGCTCATGGCAAGTTCTGTGTTGGTTTCCAGGATCAGCCGTACCGCAAGATGTGATGCAGGAGCTAAGGGCAAACGAGGATGACGTGTAAGTAGCTACTTAGCACTCACAATCAAAAATTCACCAAATTTTGATTACATAGATTAAAGTAAGCCAATGAGTTTGTTGAAACACAAATGTCCCTCCCTTTTTCCTTGCTTTATATGTTGTTGTTTTTTTCCCTTGTTGTATGCGACTAGGTAGCGTCGTCAAAGAATCTAAGAAGAGGACAGAGGTGTCGTGAGAGTTGAACTGGTGAAGAAGACCATCCAGTTTTTGTTTTGAATCAAAAATTGTAGGTGGTCTAGAATTGAAAACCAAAACTGTGCGTCACCCAAGTGTACATTACGTTTTGTGACAGCCAGGAATGACCAGTGTCCACAAGAGTCCGGGACCAGGGATCACAAGTTGTCGACGTTTCAGTGTCACTTGTGACTTTTGTGTTTTTGAGGAAGTATCCAGTCATTGCTGGTGAAGTACAGTGCGTCACTAAACTGACAACAAAACTGACTTACTTCTCAAAAAAAGGACTTTTCCAGTGGTGTGTAGTGAGAAAGCTGTTGTGTACCAGAAAACTGTACCTCATGGAAACACCACCTAGCACTGTGGGTGGAAAAATCTGAAGAACAAAATACTGTAAGTTTGAGAAAATATGGACTTCGTTGTTACACTGACATCTGTGGGATGAAATGTGACCAATTACACTTGCTGCTAGGGTCACTTCTCTTAATTTGTTTCGGAAATGATGAGTAGGAAATAAAAAGTGTGAAGGACAGAATGTGTGAATTAAGAAAAGACAGATGTCAGAAAAAGTTTGCACAGTATTTGTTTTACTGCTCTTTGCCGTTTCAGCAAAATTGTGTTTAGTACGCTGTAAGGTCTTGTATTCCCCTGTAAAGTGCAATATTGGATAAAGGATAAGAGATTTTTCCCACTTTTTACTGAGTGGCCGTTCCCTTGATCATTCATATTTTGGTCTTTTCATAACTGTGACATTTACTCAAGTGATTGTTCTCATTTGAAATGTATATGTGTTAATTATTTATTTAATTGTTAATTGTAATATTCTCCGTCTTTTTGCATTTGCCCCAGCTGTATCTGTTTTGTAAACCAATAAACTTGTATAATTCAATTTTATATATGTTGGGAGAAGATTTACCTTCATATTTCATAATAACTTACATTACACACTCCAGTAGACAGTATTTACACAATCCACACAGAAAAAAAAAAAATTAGGCTTTGCTCCAAAATGGGTTTTCAATTGCAATACAGCCTAACTTCCACTAGATGTAGTACAAGCACCACACAGTGAGAAAGAATTTCCTGCTGTTGAGGTTTTTAGCTTGGAAGTTGGGTTTGGATATACTATAACATGTGATGAATACATGGAAGTTCTGCATTCATGAGTCTGATCACATTTGTCATTGCCTATTCTACTAAAGCATCTGAATTTCCACCTTCCAGGCGAGGGAACAATGTCTCCTCATTCAGGGCATGATATGCAATCAGAGCAATGCCAAATGATCCTACCAGTAATAAAGAAATTAATGCAGGGAAAAGGTTGTAGAGTACAAATGGGATGACATCAGTGGTAAGAGAGGAAGAAATGTTAGATGTCTGTGTAGATTCTCAGTTGCCCAGGTCAGGATAATGTCAAGCGCTTCAGTAAAAAGCAACTGCACGTCTCGTTTTTGGATCTAGAACACATTTCACTTCTCATCTGAGAGTCTTCCTCTGTTGGATCTGAATAAAAGGTGAATCGTTTTCTAGAATAGACAAAGAGAAGTGCAGTTGTTTTTTTTAACTGAAGCTCTTAGGATTAAGAAAAGTAAGACAATTCCCTCACCTTGTTTATTGAGTCTATGAGAGTACGCATCATTATTTAAAATTATAGATGTATACTGTACATCACGGAAAACCGTCTTTCTGTGTTTCCATCTCTTCTTCTCCTTTGTTTCCTTTATCCGTCTCTATCTTCCCAAATTTCATTCTCTTGAAACGCACCTCCATCTTTCTCTCCTCTCTTGCTTCCTCTCTGCCTCCTGAGTCACTGTGACAGGCTGTCAGTCCACGTCTCTACCCTGTGTTTACATTGGGCAGCAGAGCAGCACCAGGCTGGTTGCACTTCAGGAATGTAACCCCAAGGTCCCTGCCCTCCTCCCTCCTCTTCCCTCCGTCTCCCCCCCTCTATCTTTCCCATCTTTTTCCTTCCCTCCCTTCATTCTTTTATTCCCTCTTCGCACGTACTCACCCCTTCCCCTCACTTTCCTTCTGTCCATTCTCCAGTCATTCCCCTTCCGCTTCGATCCTCCCTATAATTGCCCTCCCCTTTATCCCATCACCCCCACCCAGCCCTCCCCTCCTCCTCCTCCTCCTCTTCTTTCTGCCACCTTTCTCCCCTCTTTCCTTCACCCAGCCCTTTTCTCTCCTCCGAAGGTCCACTCCCCGTTTCTCCTTCGCCTTTTTTTCTCTTCCCCTTTTAAAATTCAGGAAGCATTGTCCGAGCTCACTCACACCCCCCTTTCCTCTGTCATCATCCCCCTCACCTCCCACTCCGCCCCATCTCCGTGTCCTCCCTCCTTTCATTCCTCTGCTGTCTAACCCAAACAAATCAGTGAGGACCTTCCTCTGTGGTGGCTGCAGGAGAAACACACCACATGTCAGACTTGGTTTAAACATAAACATTAGTCAATTTGAGGTACTGGAAAAGGATGTGAAGCGCTTAAGTTCAACATGAAACAGAAGTACTGTTCGGAAATGTAAAACTTTGATGTATATTAACAAAATGAACCTGGCATGGGGCAAACATATGAAAGACACTGAAACTAATGGAGTCCATTGAACATTTTCCATTTGCTGGTTTGATGAACATGAAGCTGAAAACGTACTACTTTTGGGGCAACAGGAAGCACACATAATCTTATTTTGATTTCGAGGGGATTGAATCCATACTCATAATTTCAAATGGAAAAAAAAGAGAATAAGAATTAAAGTCTTTATAGGTACACTAAGAATCAAAAGAAAGGGGAAGTAAGGAATTGTGCTGATTATACACAACCTAAGCAGACTTTTTGTGTTTTCCAGTGACGCAGCAGAGTGTGTAATCTCCTGCTTAATGGAGAATGCCTTCAGTCAGAACACAGTCCTGTGGCATTTCTCAGCAAGTGGTTTGTGACCTCTGCTGCGCTGTTCTGTGTGGGACTTATAATCAGATTACGGCAGTTATGAAAGTCAACTAGATTAGCTTTAGCACAGGGAGCTGGAGCACAACGCATCGATTCACAGTGGGTGAGTCGAGCTGATCAGCTGGAGGGAAACTGTGCCGTTACCATTTACAAAATACACAGCGAGCGTGGAGTATAGCAACAAAAACAGGGTAGAATAAGGTGGACCTTTCAACCCAACGCTATTCTTTTTCAATAACTGGTGTATTACTATTAAACAACTAGACCTATAAATATCACATGTCCAAAGAAATGTTGGTAAAACTAAATTGAACATTAGTTAATACTAATTCCTGTATATTGTGAGCTTAAAATTGGCCAGAAAATGAATGTTTGTTACCTTGTTAATCACATAAGCACATACGGGAATTCTTTCTTGCTATTTTTACCGATAATACTGTTGTCAACAAACCATCAGCAGCATCTGAAAACATTTAACTCCTCTGCTACACCTGCTATTAGGTTCCGGTCTCTGAATTTTGGTGATGCGTGGAGGAACAGCACAAGGCTGATGGAGCAGAGACGGTGAAGGATTGAGCAGGTCAGGAGGTTTAGGGGCTCTGGTGCTGCAGCTGAATGATCATGTTGTTGCTGTCACTGCAGAAACCCTCTCGCTGACCCCCAGAGACAGGAGAGGTGACCTGGAAGCATTTATCACCTCTGTGCTTTCTGACCCATGACCTGATGACCGAGATAGGGAATATAACACAAACACACAAGAGGGATGGAAGGGAGGAGATAAAGAAAGAGATATGGAAGGGAGTGACCGACGCAGCAATGCGTAAATAGTTATGTCTAAAGCCCTTTTCAGATGTGCACTCCTTTCCATTAATCTGACGGCAACTGAACTTGTCAACTTCATGTCTGAATGAGCTCCCTTTTAACTTCTCCATAAAAGTTGCGATGGCGATCCCACTGGGTCGGCCAGGAACATTTCAACATCACTTTTAACCATGCACAAGTCTGAACTGCATGCAGTCACATTAGCAGGCACACATAAGTGACCTACTACAAGTTGTGAGAAGTGATTTGGGGAAGATTTTATCCAGATGTCAGCACTAATATTGCTCCGAAAAGGCAATCACATAAGATATAGTTTGTGTTTGAAAATCAGCTGCAAATTATCCCTGACATGGAGACAGGATTGATCATGATCTAACAGCAGGTCACACAGGTGAACCATCACACATAGAGTCACACTTTAAAAATTCTAGTCAAATAATTTCTTACATCGAGGCTGTTCTCAAGAATTGTATGTGTCCTGTTTTATTAGATGGTTACAGTAAAGACAGGGAATATGGGGATAGAGAGCACAGAATGACATACAGTAAAGAATCGGCCAGCTAGGACTCAAGCCGGCAACTCGGTGCTGACAGCATTTGTGCCCATGTGGTATGTGCCCCAACCGCTCGGCTATCAGGTCGCCCCAGAAGAATTACTTCTGCACCCAGAGGGTTACAGTGGCAGGTTTATGAAGCTGCTGGAATCCTTGTGTGGTCTATGTGAGTGTGCATCAATGAAAATATTTCTCTTGGTCAAAAGATGAAAACATTGCTGGTGCAAATGTGTGGTCCTGGTTTGGTCGAGCCAATAGCCATCAGTAGGGACTTGAAAGAACTTGAACCACTGCGAGAGAGAGCAAGAGATGTTAGTTGGCTTGGAGCCCAACAGAACTATAAACACCTCTCTGTAATGGTGATACACCAAAGGAGCTAGGCTACGAACCAATATTTAAAGTGGTGTGTGCGTGCATATGTGTGTAGACAGGCGAAATGTGAGCAGACGTTGAGCAGAGTCACATCTCCTTTGAATATTTATAGGACTGCTTAAGATTTGACCTTTGCATTTGCACACACATTCACACTTATACATGTGAAGAGAACACTATATATACAGACAGTTTTAATGGTATGCTGTTCCAACCATCCATCTATTCAGCTACAGTATCTGCTCATGTCTTTCCAGGGAACCGTAGACATCGCTTTGCTGCCTCGAACACTCAAACAGGTGATTGCACTGAAGCTGACTCTCCCATGGGAGGATTGTATGAGGGGGAGCCAGCGAGAGAAATGGAGACCAGTGTGGGGAATTGGTGGGTGAGATGCCTAGTTGGCTGCAGATGGTTGGCAGCCTCATGTTTCTACAAAAGCTGAACATCAAAGACTATCAGACGCAATTGTAATGTGTGTTGTAGTACAGCAAAGTGACATCATACTACAACCTGTAACCACACTTGCAACAACATTTTACTTCTTGTCCACAGAACTTATCAAGTTTTTACAATTTGCAGTCTACTAGTATTGCAAAATCTCAGCTTATTTTACTTTCTTTTTCATAGTCAACATCAAAGTAGAGTGATCTGATCCAAAATTTGAAAAAAAAAAAGTTGAATTCCTCTATAGTGTTTCTTTTCTTCCCCCTGTTATATCAGGGTCAAGCCATTATATTGTTTGAAATATTAAAGCGACAAGAGACAAGTTTTGTTTTTTTGCTCTGACTGATTGCACAATCTAATGGCTATACAATAACGACACCATCTGTGTTTGGTTCCCGATAAGCCTCGCTTTCACTGTGCAATTCTGTTTGTCATCTGGTCCGAATTCTCTTGAGAATATTAAGGCGCAATTTTCGGTTAAAAGAACAACCAGAGTAACTGTGGAAACTCTGCCTGGTGAAAGAAGAGGGAGCTCTGTTGTTGGAGAAGGCGAAGAAGTAAAACTAGGGAGAGTAAACCTCAGATGTGGCGTTGAAAACTCGTCTGTTGTCACTTTGATGATGAAAACATATTTTTTATATCTGATTAATTCATGAAGACCACAGGCTGCAAGTAAGTGTGAATATGAGGTTATATTTTATGTAAAGTTTGACTTATCCAGCATAAATTTCATTCACCCAGCAATTACTGATACG